TGTCATTAAAGAATTGACAGTCCTGCAGTTCCCCTCACACACATCCTCACAGTCACGTGTAAGCACTGTGAACCCCAGAAGCCCTCCATGAAAAAGCAAATCAGCAATCTGGTGTGTTCAGCAAATATAGATGGAAGAGGCTGGAAACAGAATGGGCAGAGCCCATTATAGCTGACACATGCATTCTTCACTAATATCACACACATCTGCAACGCTTAATCCACAATTTAGAATATGTTTATATCTCTTCCCTTATTTGATTTCCACAATATCCCATGAGGTGGGAGGGTAGCTGTTGTGTTCCTGTGTTGTGAGGGAACTGAGATTCAGAGGAATTAAAAGGAGTCTGCCTTTGTTTGGATTAGATAACAAGCTCCTCTGAGAGAAAGGGAGCAAATTTATCAGGTGTGGTGAGCTTGCACCTTCTGCATAAACTTCCCCTTTTGTGGGAGGGAGATACAGGACCAGGGCCAAAGCAGGGAAGAAATAGATGGGCTATGAAATTACAAACAGCCTTGATGTGTGCTGTGTATATTTTATTGGAGAAAATGTACACAGAGTCTTCAACTGATTTCGAAGGGGCCAGAACCCCCTGAGTGGTTAAGAACCATTGTTCAAGGGTACTATAGCTGAAAAATGTCTTGGACTCAACCTAAGAAATCAATAGCAAAACCCTGCTGTGGAAAGTAGTTCTTTGTATAAGAGGGAAGGGGTACAGAATCTTCTTAGGCAGAATTTCTGCCTTCTGGTTATTTACTACGGGAAACAACACGGCTGTTAATTCTTGTTATCCCAGACAATCCCTCTGGCTCCATGGTGATCAGATTTTCTATCTTGCCAAAAATAGTATTGAAAAGCCTGCCATTCTAAGAAGAAAATGTTTAGTATTAGCAAAATCCCTATGCATTCCTGGAAAGGTGAATGAAACTCAGAAAACTTTTGCCTTCCCCACGAATGCCTATACAGTGGGTAGGTTAGCTTGCTAAGTTACTGAAGGGGAGACACATTGCTGGGGCATCAGATAAGGGAAATAGGGATTTAGGGACTTTACAAGCATTTCTTTGCTTAGACTTTCAGAGGGATTGGCAGGGCCATGCTCACAACACTGGCTCCAAACATGCCTGTCCTAGGGACAGTTTCAGATTGACATTTTCAGAACCATGTACTTAACCATGAATGAAACACAATCCCCTCGAGAGTAGATGCTTAGAGTTCAGAGCCTACTGAGATAGAAAATGTGATGGAAAAGAGGAGTAAGTCTGAGTGTTTCCCCCAAATAGAGCAAATGATAAAGTTCATTTTATTTATTTGCATTTAAATATTAGGCTGCTCAGAATACCCAAGGCAAAACTGCTGGAGCCAGTTGCTGCCACCTGCTGGTTGTTTCGAAGTTTGACCTTAGGAATGGACTCCGGGGCACCTTCTTTATTATTGAGAAATAAAGTACTGGTGTTGATTCAGAAAAATCATTTTCATCTGTAGTTGAGGGTTCTGAGCACAGAATGCAATTGGAGTGAGAATGATAGGTCAGGAACCCCAGGAGGCTGCCTGTTCCCATGAAGGATTCTTTTGCCTTTCATGCCTTAATAAAAGATTAGAATTTCCTAGATGCCATCACATGATTGCTGGCAACTTCACAGTAAACAGGGATTGGATTTCGCTTTCTAGTCAGAACGTAAAGCACGTTCAGGCAACTGGAGTTAAAATGCAAAATAAGAAGAATAAATTTTCCTTATATTTCTGTTCCTCTCTGCCTTCTCCCTTGCTTGTTTTTGTAACTGCACCCACCCCCTCGCATACACACATTACTTTCTCTGACTATGGAAATGTTCTTCATCTCAGCATTCTTCTGTTAGTCTTTCTCGAACTTGTCAGTTCATAGGTCAGCTACAAATGTCACTTTGGAATTGCAGCCAGCCTTGAGCTGTTGCCCTAATTCTAAGTCTTAAATTATCTTTTTGGCCAAGTTCTTGACTGTTTTTCAAATGCTTAAAGGAAAGATAGTGGGTTCAAATCTATGTACCCAAAGAAGGTCGGTATGTTTGTGTATGTAGTCATATGAGCAGTGGAGCAAGGAGACACTGGAGACAAGATAGAGATGACAAGGATAGTATTTATGTGGCTCAATTTTTACTTAAAGGAGATGAATTCTTGTCCTAAATACACCTCATGTTAGCTATGTGACTTTGAGCAATTCAGGTAACTTTTCAAGTCTCAATTTCAATGGTAATAGTACGTGCCTTGCCTGCTTTCCTGTGTAATTATGAAGACCAAATGAGGCAACGCATTGTTCAAACATAAGATGATATTTTAGTCAGACGAGGCTAGGTTGTGTTGGGATGACAAACAGCCCCAGCATTTCAGTTGCATAAAGCAGCAAAGTTTACTTTTTGCTTATACTACATGCTCAAAATGAGGTGGATGGGCAGGGAAACTCTTCTCTTTGAAATCTGTCAGAGGTCCAGTCTGATAAGATTCCAGCTTTTTGTGATACCACTGCTCCTTGCATCATGTGTTCCTCTGAGGAATGTCTAGATTTCTTCTCCCTTATCCTGACAGTGAACCTCAGCTCTGAGACATCAGAAGAGAACAATCCTGGAGAATCGAATAGCCACACAGTTTTGTACCTTGACCTAGAAGTAACATTCAAATCTGCTCACATTTCATTGGCTCAAACTGGTTACTTGGTCTTCCCTAACTTTAGAAAATATGGGGGTATAATTTCACAAGAACCTTATATACTTTAGTAGTGCCAACCATAAGTGGTATTATGGAATTTCATTGATTCTGAGATGTACTTTTTTTTCCACATTAGAATCTCTGAAATTGGGATGTATATTGCAGTCAATATTTTGTAATCACACAGGCCATTCTTTCATATTTTATTTCTAAAGATGGAATGCACTTTACAATTGGTGGTATCTTGGACTTAATGATAATATAGTGTTTCCATTATTCTTCTCAGGTGCTTGGCCTCTAGGGATCCCAGCAAGACCAGGATTGGGCCTGGAGCTCAGGCAGTGCTGCAGTGACCTGATCACAACTGTGAGCTCTAGGCTGAGTCCTTCCTTTCAGCCTTCTTCAACTTTTTTTTTTTGATATCATTTAAGCAAGGCCACAGATGCAGGGCCAGGAGAGAAGAGAGTTTTTTTAGGCTTTCTTTTACCACCCCCCACCCTCAGCAATGACCAGACTTCTTCTCCCTTATCCTGACATTGAACCTCAGCTCTGAGACAAGTTTTTGAGGCTATAAATGCCCATAAAGATTTATAAGACTGCAGTGTTCCTCAGGGTCAATGATAGCATCTTGTTTCTCTGTCCAATCAATCTCTCAAATATCCACAGAGTAAGGATAAATGCTGATTTGCAGTTCAAAATTCCATGCCTGCTGCTGAAAGAGGTTTGAGCATGAGCCCCAGACTGGGCTAGTGTGCATGCATCCTTGCTTTGGGGGATGATGGCTTCTTTAACTATATTCCTTGAATTAGTTTCTAGGTCATTTCTCAGAGATGTCAGATACTGCCTTCTTTCACTTTTCTGCTTTAAAAAATTATATATATAGGCTTTTTATATGTCTGTTCTCCAACCATGATGTCTGATCAGAAGTAGTAGAGACTAAGGAGGAGGGAGTGGGGAAAGGAATAAAGACAGGACTGAATCTCAAGCTGAAGACATCTGAGGGCTGAAGAAAGGGAAAGAAAGCAGAGGTTTCCTCCACGGCTTATTCCCAGACTGCGTGGGTCTCCTGGGCTCTGGACCATGCATCATAATACTTTATACACATTGCCACGAATAATGTGATATTTGGCAAAAGGATTGAGATTAACCTTCTATGCTGTTCTCATTTGCACCTTAGGCAGACTTTTATGTATAATTTGGTATTTAAATCCTCTAATTATATTCAAGATAATGACCTTTAAGGAAATTAATGACTGAGTAAAAGCATACCTTCTTTTTTGGAACATCCCAGTAACACATCTGATTCTAAGAGCAAGGTTTTTTTCCTCCTTCAGCCTTACTTTCATGAAATTTGCCTCTCTTTTTACCTCTCTTGTTTGTTTTGTTGGAGGAAGACCTTAAACAATATGGTGTTTATGGACCACTGCCTAGGACTTCTGGGTCTACATATTACCTAGAGCCTCACAACCTTCTCTTCATGCCCCTGATTATAGTTGCCTGCTGTTGAATCCTAATCCTATTGGGTCTACTCTGATCCCTTCCCACTGCAGCCCCTAGAAGTTACCTTTGCTTCATTGTGACCCTAAGACCTTTCATAGGACATGGGGACTGGTGACCTATCCCAGACTTTAGCTGCCATCGCAAGGAAGCTGACATTGTTCCCACCACTTTCCTCGGGTAGCCAGTTTGGTCCTGGATCAGCTCCAAGAAAACCTTGTGGCCCTGAGTGCTTTTGCAGTTTTTGTTCCCTGTTTCCATCTCAACCTGTCTTTAATCACTGGATTGAAGGGTGCCACAGCTGGCTTTAGAGTCTGACAAGGGCTCAAATGTCAGTATTGTACTACCACTCACTGGTACTTACCCAAGTTAGTTTCCTAAACAGTAAAAATCAGGTACACCAATGCCCAAACACTCAGCATACAGTTTATGTGTACTACATATTACATATTACTAACATAAGAAGCAGGATAATTAATAATTATGGGGTTTAGAGCCAAACAGGCTTGAGTTCAAAGTTTTGCCTCACTGCTTGACAAATGACTGTGTCAGTTTCTGACCTCCAGCCTTGTGCATTTGTCATGTCTCTGGGATCCCTCTTCAGAGCTTGCTTTTCGTATTGTTAGATGTGGACCTACCCAATTCCTTGAGTAGATAATTATAAACTTCTGGATCTGAATAAAGAGTGGATCCTCATTGCAGAGGGGAGTGAGTGGGAGTAATTGATTGTCATTCAGTCCAGTCTCCTAGCAGAATGCTGGCTCAGTGTGGCTCCAGGCAGCCCCAGCTTTCCTTAACTCAGACTTTTTTTTTTTTTTTTTCCTGTGAAAGAGCTAGTACCAGAGGTGGGAATTAACTCCTTAGTAACAAAGAATGATGGGACAGTTAATAAGGTGCTTGAAAGAAAACGTGTCCTCTCTCTTCGGATTAAGAAAGAGGTAAGAACTGCCATTTGGTTGGACTGGGATAGAAGGGATGAGCCACAGGATGTAGGAAATTTGCAACCAGCTTGTCTCTTTCCCTGGAAAATAAGCCAGTGATTCAGCATTTTCTCAAGTCAGAAGAAAAAGGGCTGAAAATGTTGGAGATCATGACTCAGAAAAGAGCAGGTTATCTTTTCTGGAGACTTGACAGCAGTCAGGCTACAGAGAGATAGGTTTCGTATGGAAAATTGAAATTCACATATAATTCTAAATCCTTGCTGCAGATAGTGGTAACTACAGCCTTTCTCATGTAGTAAGTTCTTCATCAGAACTGTTCAAAAGCAGCAGCAATGATTGCTTTGATTTTATCTTGTTCCATTTCCTCTGCCCACCTCGATGTGGGCTGCAGATAAGCTAGGGGATGAGCTAAAGATGAGCTGGCAGAGCAGGAGAGAGGAGCCAGTTGCTGGGGCCTGTGGGTTTGAGTTGGAGGAGCAGCTGGTACCAATCAGAGTGTTGGAAGCTGCACATTCACCTCCTGCCCAAAGGCACACAGGCTCCCTTCTCCTCTGGTTATTTGGGTCAGATGAGTTTTAACACACAAAGGACTTTCAGGCTGAGAGGTTTATGGATGTACAGTATCCATTGTAAGACTCAAATTCCTGAGGTATCCTGTTTTAACTGCATCATAATGGGAATTATGTTTGGAATGGATAGGGGAGAATTGCTTTTTAAAAGCTTTGATGTGAACTTTTTAGAAGTAATCACTTTTTTTTTTTTTTAAAGAGCAGGAATTTTTCTTTTAAATTGAGATATCACAATGGTACATTTTTAATGGAACACAGTGTGATGCTTCTGTACATTTATATGTCTGTAATAATTAACTCAGGATGTTTAGGTTATTCATCATCTCAAAAGTTTATCAGAGAAATAACTTTAAAGGATCTTTTTGTACAACTGCATTTCCAATTAGAGTGTATGAGATCTCCCTAGGCTGTCTTGCTTTCAGGAAATTCTTAAGAAATTCTGATTCCAAATTTGTAATTCTTAGACTTTGTTTTTAAAAATAGTCATATAACTTCTCTAAGTGGTAGAATTTGCAGGAATTCTGGATGTACTTCCTCAGAGGGCTTTTCTTCACCAGGGGACCCACCAGGGAACTTTCACCAGAGTGAGGCACTGAATGATGACAGGCAGGGCCATCCCCAGAGTGCTTCAGGAGCAAAGGAGGCGGAAATGTCTGCCAAATGCACAAAAAGCAAAGTTAACAGGACAAGAACCCTGGGTTAGAAACTCACAGTGTTCAATCCCAAGGGTCTGAGGACTTGCTATTTGGATGATCTTGCTGTAAAAGTTTCAAAAGACTCAAGGGGATTTATTAATAGCTGGGGCACTGAAATCTTGGCTGCTTGTAGCATTGCCCTTTTCAATAGTAAATTTGTCTTTTAAAATATCTAGAACTTGTACTTGATGTTCTTTACTGATTTAAACCAGGCAAGCAGGCAGTAAATCAGATTATCATCTTCCTTGGGAAGGAGAACAATCTGGAATGTTAATTTTCCAGCTGAAAGTTCTGGAAGTTTCTTTTTAGTTTCATTTTTTTTTTTTAAAGGGAGAAAAATAAAAGGGGAAGAAAGCTACAGGCAAGAATTTGTTTTCAGGGAAGCTTACAGTCCAGGTTTTCATACTTGTCACTTGCTGCCTTATAAGTTGTCCATTATATTTCCCCTAAAAATATATATGTCTAGAGAACCACTTTTAGTGGAACAAGAAGTTCTGTCCCTTGGCTTGTAGCAACTTAGTTTGGGACATTAACCACCCTTAATTGGGAAGGAGATTTCCAAGTGGCAGATCAAATTAAGATCATTGTGTTTCAGAGTTCGTTAACTGTGACTATTATAGAAAATGCCTTGATTGGCTTACTATTTTTTTTTTAAACTAACGTGTGGGGTTTTGATGAATGTGCTAAACTTTTCCCTCTTAAGGCAGACTTTCCTTTCTTTTTTAGTAGGGTAATTTGACATGTCCCCTTTTTCCATGAGTCTCCATATGTACTGTATGGGCTATGTGATCCTCTACAAACACAGCCTCACATGGGAGCCGAGCAGTGTGTCTGATAGGGAGAGACCTACTCAGGGACAGGGGCTGGAGAGACCCCTATTCATTCTGGTTCTGCTGTTTACTAGCTGCATGGTCTGGAAGCCAGTGAATAAATACATGGAGCTTCAGCTTCCTCGTTGTAAACACAGAGAGCCTTGTAATGACAAGAGACTTAAAGAATGGTGGTGAGGATATGACTGACTGAAGTGCTCAACAAGAGATCAGACTACTTAATCTATTACTCTTTGGATATAAAATTGGTCCAATCCAGTAATAGTTTCCTGCTAAATGCCCCTGACAATCTGGTTTTATGAGGTTGCTAACTGAAATTGGAAGAAAACTAACTCTATGATGAATGGAGTTAGCTGTATCCATGTGTTTGGTTTATAACATCAACAAGAGCAGCATTTGCTTACTCTAGTCACCCAATATTCATCAGCATTATCTCCCTGAATATCCAAGATTTGATCCATGTAGATTTGAGCATGTAGCCAGAATCTCTAGTCCCTTAAGACGCTAAAAATATCGTTCCAGCTCCCTTTTGTGGGAAATGCTGTAAGAGATTTAAACACAGACTCTGAAGTCTTCTCTGGGATCCTAGGACTTGTAGGCTAATTACAGTGTCAGAGGAGTGCCTTATGAGTAATGGTTGCATTTTGAATGAACTATCTGGATAGCTAATCAGCATAACTTTGTGAGCTTTCTGCGGCCAAGTTCTTTTCTTAGCAGAAACAACTTGATTATTTTGAACATATAATAATAGTTTGGTGCTGAACAGGACTGACTGCATAATGCTTTTTCACAATATTCTTTTTTAAAAAATAAATAAAATGGCATTTTATTTACTAATATTACAAAGTATAAATGTTGTATCAACTTAGAAATAATTGAAAACTCTAATGGTAGAGTTACCACTTAATAGTATTTTTTGCTGTTTTTTTTTATTCTAATTTGTTATATACAAGAGCAGAATGCATTAAAATTCATATTACATATAAAGAGCACAATTTTTCATATCTCTGGTTGTATATAAAATATATTCACACCATATGTGTCTTCATACATGTACTTAAGGTAATGACATCCATCTCATTCCACCATCTTTTTTACCCCCATTCCCCTTCCTTTTCCCTCCTACCCCTTTGCCTTATCTAGAGTTCATCTAATTCTCCCATGCTTCCCCTCCCAACCCCACTATGAATCAGCCTCCTTATATCGGAGAAAACATTCAGCTTTTGTTTTTTTTGGATTGACTAACTTCACTTAGCATTATATTCTCTAACTCCATCCATTTACCTGCATATACCATGATTTTTTGCTGAGTAATATTCCATTGTATATATATATATACACACACACACACACACACCACATTTTCTTTACCCATTTGTCTACTGAAGGGCATCTATGTTGGTTCCACAGTTTAGCTATTGTGAATTGTGCTGCTATAAACATTGATATGGCTGTGTCCCTGGAGTATTCTGTTTTCAAGTCCTTTGGGTATAGACTGAGGAGGGGGATAGCCGGGCCAAATGGCAGTTCCCATTCCCAGCTTTCCAAGGAATCTCCATACTGCTTTCCATATTGGCTGTACCAATTTGCAGTCCCACCAACAATGTATGAGTGTGCCTTTTTTCCCACAACCTAACTAACACTTATTGTTGTTTGTGTTCTTCTTTTTTAATTTTTTAAATTTGTTTTAATTAGTTATACATGACAGTAGAATGCATTTATGCACTTTGATATATCATACCTAGATGGGATATAATTTCTCATTTTTCTGAGTGTACATGTTACAGTATCATATTGGTCATGCAGTCACATATATACATACAGTAATAATGTCTGTTTCATTCTACTATCTCTCCTATTCCGACATACCCTTCCCTCCCCTCCCATCACTTCCCTCTACCTAATCTAAGGTTCCCATTCCCAGCTTTCCAAGGAATCTCCATACTGCTTTCCATATTGGCTGCACCAATTTGCAGTCCCACCAGCAATGTATGAGTGTGCCTTTTCCCCAACATTCTTATCAATGCTTATTGTTGTTTGTGTTCTTAATAGCTGCTATTCTGACTGGAGTGAGATGAAATCTTAGAGTGGTTTTGATTTGCATTTATCTAATTGCTAGAGATGTTGAACATTTTTTTATATATTTGTTTATTGATTGTATGTCCTCTTCTGAGAAGTGTCTGTTCAGTTCCTAGCCCATTTATTTATTGGACTATTTGTTTTTTTGATGTTTAGCTTTTTGAGTTCTTTATATACCCTGGAGATTAATGCTCTGATGTGTGAGTGGTAAATATTTGCTCTCTACATGTAGGCTCTCTATTCACCTCACTGATTTTTTTTCCAAGAAGAAGCTTTTTAGTTTGAATTCATCCAATTTATTGATTCTTGGTTTTAATTCTTGTGCTATAGGAGTCTTATTAAGGAAGTTGGGGTCTAATTCGGCATGATGGAGATTTGAGCCTACTTTTTCTTTCATTAGGTGCAAGGTCTTAGGTTTAATTCTTAGGTCCTTGATCCACTTTGAGTTGAATTTTGTGCATAGTGAGAAATAGAGGTTTAATTTCATTATTATTATTATTATTATTATTATTATTATTATTATTTGCATATAGATTTCCAGTTTTCCCAGCACCATTTGTTGAAGAGGCTATCTTTTCTCCAATGTATATTTTTGGCACCTTTGTCTAATATAAGATAACTGTAATTATGTGGGTTAGTCTCTGTGTCCTCTATTCTGTACTATTGGTCCACAAGTCTATTTTGGTGCCAATACTATGCTGGTTTTGTTACTATTGTTCTGTAGTATAGTTTAAGGTCTGGTATAGTGATGCCACCAGCTTCACTCTTCTTGCTAAGGATTGCTTTAGCCATTCTGGATCTCTTATTTTTCCATACGAATTTCA